GGGGTAGTCAATGTTGGCATGAGGTACGTTTTATGGCTTACTCCCCATACCGATCGGTAAAGGAGTGTGCCATATATGCGCATAGTATGATGTCAGGTCACGTTGGCTTTGATATAATCTTGCGAAAACACAATGCTATTCATACCACTCGCAGATAATCGACTTGTTATTTGCTACCTTAACCACGGATACATCGTTTCTTTCATGGTATACAAAAGGGGGTAAGTGGTTTATTCCAATGGAATTGGAATAAACACCAGAGGCGACTTTTTCATGCGGGTTCGTTCGACACTGAGGGCTGTCGATATGCACAGTTTCGATTATTAGTATGATGAATTTGTCAACAAATAGCTAGATGTTGCATTCGCATGGAACGAATGTGCAGGGTACCACTAGCAACGAGGATAAAACCTCATGCTTTGGGATTGGTACTACTTCATGCTTGAATCCTCTTCGTGCCCTATGGTAAAGTGCAATGCTGCCAGTGATCCATCTGATGACCTAAACAAGGGGCGATTAATGTCAGTTTCTGTTCACTTCAGAAAAGTAGCGAGCCATTGCAATGCAGCTCATTAGTAGGATGTTACTTTATTAAAACTTTGCGTATGGGGGACGGGCGTTTAACTTTTATTCTTGGCTTTGTCTTCAGTCGTGGGGTGATGGATGCGGTCATGGCGCATAATTTGACAATGTTTTGAACGTCAAGGACCGTCACCTCATGTAACTGTGATCCAGTAGGTTTACTGTAGAAGATTTTTTCATATTTTATAGTGTCATTTTTTTACTGTTATTTAATTTCAATGTTTTTTCATGTTTTATTTATGTCCAACAAGTTTCATTCAACACCTTATTCAAACTGTGTAGGCTTTCCAAACTTTTACCTCAATTTCAGGCTGGGAAAAACACTCGCCGTAGTAGCGTAGAACATATTCTGACTGCATGCGTGAAGTAATGGAAAATGAATTGGGTGTCCGGGCAATCGTTCGTATTTAAGGTGTAGAGTTTATGCACATCTGTAGTCATACCACGGCCTAGCAGTTGTAAGCATTTTATCACAGATGTTAGGCACACTTGTGTTTCTACGACCACTCGACCATGGGAAGTTATGATGAGGAGAAGGGTGGAAGAGGCGGATGATGACTTTGATTAATCATATGAACCACTGAAAGGACTATTTAATATGTCGTTGTAGATTATGTTAAAATGGCAATATTTTATAGCATTCGAGTCTCCTTATTCATTCTCAAAATTAGCTTTTCGTTTCGGGTCGAAAGGACATCAACTTAAGAAGATTTTCTATGGTAGGGTCCGCCAATTCCGTTAGGTCTATGAGTATATTTTCAAATCAGTGCAAGAACTCGGTTTACATGGCTTGTTGGTCTTCTCCTAGGCTGTTTTTCATATGATTTTGGGAAAGCAGTTCCCACATGAGCTTTTCCTCTGTCATCATGACAGCATATCTCAATTGATCTCTCAACATGGAGATAAATAGGCTCACAGTCGAAGGAATCCCGGATTGTAGTTTTCCGAAACTTCTCGAGCCTTATGTCAAATTTTATTTAACTCAAACAAAAATTAATTCATTAAGCATGAATTACAGTAAAAATCAAGGACGCCGTGATGAACTGGATTTGATCGAACAGATTAGCTTGAACTCTTGCGAAAAAAAAGTGGGACAGAGTAAAAACTCGACGTGAAAAATTGAACTGAGTCAAGTCATCATTTCTTCAGGGGCTTGATGGTGTGTATGCTCTCTTGGAGAGATCTGCTTGCCTTGGTTATAAGCTGATCTCTTTTGAGACGGTAGCGGAGGTTAACGGCGATTTTGCGCTCTTCTTGACCGTTAGAACGTCTGTCGGATGGTCGCGCTCGCACTGAGGTGGTAACAGACTCCTAAAAAATAGATGAACAGAAGTAAATCTTGGATTACAAAGTAACCCTGAGAACTACATTCTAATAACAGGCGTTTTTATGCGGGAATCCTGATCATTACAGCTAATAGCCTCGTTTAGCGTATTCAGCGCCCGTATCATGAAAACGCGTTTTTGGTCTTTAGTTTTTTAGTCGAATGGCGATGTACAAGGCTAATATTTTTGCGATGACCGAGCGATGTTTATCTCATGGCCACGAGGTGAAATTTTTCACCTCTGCGAATGCCATGCGTTTCGATATCCAGATTTGGACTTTACACATTTTAATAGTTCCATGCAAACGACGTTGTCACACGTCACGTCGAACAGACGACCGGTTGAAGAGCTGTTGACGGACAACAGCAGCAGTGACAGTTGTCTGTTTGTGTCGTTTTGCAGACC